GTGACAGGCAGCCCTGAGCTTTAGGGGGAGGGGCCACAGAAAGACAGACACACCCCTAACTTCCTACCACCAGGAAGGACACCAGTGACAAATGTACGCAGAAGATCCAGCCCTAAATTTGGGGCCACATCCTGAGAAACCCTGAAGGGGAGATAGGCATTGGCTTTTCCTTAGGCTTCCCAACACTGGGCTAGCCTCTCCAGCCAGGCAGCCCTGAGCTTTAGGGGGAGGGGCCACAGAAAGACAGACACACCCCTAACTTCCTACCACCAGGAAGGACACCAGTGACAAATGTACGCAGAAGATCCAGCCCTAAATTTGGGGCCACATCCTGAGAAACCCTGAAGGGGAGATAGGCATTGGCTTTTCCTTAGGCTTCCCAACACTGGGCTAGCCTCTCCAGCCAGTAAAGGTTAAGAAAGAGACTCCCTGTTCCAGTCTTCAATCTCACAAAGACAGGCTTTCTCTGCACTATGTTTACATTAGTGACTTGAATTACTCCTGGCTCTTCTCTGAATCCTCTCCAGTTTCTCCACATCTTTCTTGAAATGTGCCCAGAACTAGACAAAATGCTCCAATTGATGCCTAATTAGCACAGAGTAGAGCAAAGAATTACTTCTCAAGTCTTGCCCATAACACTTCTGCTAATTTCATATTTGCTTTTTTTCTAAGTGTCACACTGTTGATTCATATTTAGCTTGTGATCCACTATGACCCCTAGATATTTCTGCAGTATTCCTTCCTAGGCAACCACTTCCCATTCTGAAACAAAAAACAGGACTATGTAGCACTTTAAAGACTAACAAGATGGTTTATTAGGTGATGAGCTTTCGTGGGCCAGACCCACTTCCTCAGATCAAATAGTGGAAGAAAATTGTCACAACCATATATACCAAAGGATACAATTAAAAAAATGAACACATATGAAAAGGACAAATCAAATTTCAGAACAGAAAGGGGATGGGAGGGTGGGAGGTAAATGTCGGTGAGCTAAAGATATTAGATGTGATAATTGGGGAAGCTATCTTTGTAATGGGTAAGATAATTGATTTGTCCTTTTCATATGTGTTCATTTTTTTAATTGTATCCTTTGGTATATATGGTTGTGACAATTTTCTTCCACTATTTGATCTGAGGAAGTGGGTCTGGCCCACGAAAGCTCATCACCTAATAAACCATCTTGTTAGTCTTTAAAGTGCTACATAGTCCTGTTTTTTGTTCCCCAGAAACTGTTTTTTCTTTGTGATCTTGTCTGATATCTGTTTTGTGGGCATTAATCCTTTGGCGAAGTGTCTGAGATGTTTGTCCAATGTACATAGCAGACGGACACTTTCGGCACATGATAGCATAAATTATATTTCTGGATGCGCAGGAATATGTGTTCTTGATCTTATAACTCACTTGGTTAGGTCCAATTATGGTATCAGCAGAGTGAATATGTGGTTCAGCTTTGTGAATATGTGGTTCACCCTCAGAACTGTCATTCATGCTTAAATTTGACACTTTACGCCTAAGTTTGAATTTGTCCTTTTCATATGTGTTCATTTTTTTAATTGTATCCTTTGGTATATATGGTTGTGACAATTTTCTTCCACTATTTGATCTGAGGAAGTGGGTCTGGCCCACAAAAGCTCATCACCTAATAAACCATCTTGTTAGTCTTTAAAGTGCTACATAGTCCTGTGTTTGTTTCAGCTACACCAGACTAACACGGCTACATTTCTATCTCCCTTCCCATTCTGTATGTGTGAAATTGATTGTTCCTTCCTAAGTGGAGTACTTTGCATTTAACCTTATTACACTTCATCCTATTTACCTCAGACCATTTCTTCAGTGTGTACAGATCACTTTGAATTATAACCCTATCCTCCAAATTACATGCAACCTTTCCCAGCTTGGTATCATCTGCAAACTTAGTAAGTGTACTCTCTTTGTCAATATCTACATAGTCGATGAAGATATTGACTAGATCAATACTTAAACAGAATTAGTGAGTTTAAAAGACAAATCAGCACTCCTCCCCCTCCCCCAAAGTGTGGGCTTCAAATTGTTGCATTGAAACAAGATACTTTAAAAACAACCACAAAATTAATACAAAACTGGAGGCTCCCTCCAAACAATTGAAATGTAGCAAATCTGCACATATTAACAAAGAAATGGTCCATTAGGACTATTTCATTAAAGTGAGGGGAGATTTATACATATTTTCCTTTTTATTAATTTTCTTTTCCATTGTTCTGTTTTGCACATGAAAAGAAACCAATCATTTGTCAAACAACAATCCACATAAATACTTATTTTACTATAACCTGGAATAATATTTCTGTTGTATGTGTTTTCATTTTTATATAATGATTTCATGGGTCTATGTTATCATTCAGTATGAAAACCAAATAAAAAAATCAGTAGATCCAAACTTTCCCAACAATAGAAGCATTCAGTGTATTTCCCGCAAAATACATTTCTGAATCTTTGGGAGGGAATACTAGGACAAACACTTGGGGTATGTCTAGACTACATGACTCTGTCAGCAGAGCCATGTAGATTAGTTTACTAGACATACCCAAATGAAGTGGTGATTTAAAAAATCACCGCTTCATTTAAATTAAAATGGCTGCTGCGCTGACCTGACAAACAGCTGATCGGCTCAGCACGGCAGCCATTTTTATTTTATTTGGGTATGTCTAGTAAACTAATCTATATGGCTCTGGTGACAGAGCCATGTAGTCTAGACATACCCTTAGGACTTGTCTTCACTACCACATTATATCACTGTTGCTATAATGTACCTGGTGAAGATGTACTACACTGACAGAAGAATGTTCTCCTATCGATATAATTATTCCATTGAAACAAGAGTAAAAAGGGAAGAGCATAGTACAGTGTAGGAACCACTGTAAGACAATGTAATTTACGTTGCTCAGAAGAGAAGGTTTTTTATACCCCTGAGCGATGTAAGTTATATTAGCTTACGCGATAGTGTAAACAAGTCCTTAGAAATCCTAGTAAAAAATATTTTAATTCTCAAGAACTAAGCACCATTTGGAGAAGTTTGGTTTAATTTAAATGTGAATTTTCAACAAATTTGTCATACTTGAAGGAAAAATAAATCCCTTATTTCTTACAAGGTAGAAATCCTCACATAGGGGAAACAGAGTCCTAATGAGAGATGTAATCTTGAACTCTTTCAAAATGTAGTGCTCCTGAATAGTTTGTAAAATATTCTTCATTTTCAAGAATTAAGTTTTCCAAAGTGATGAAGATCAATTAGTGTAGTATATTCAGGGAAGTTGTAAGCATTTTGTATAGCTCTGCCTGTGCTTTGCTCACAAGTCTTTATTTTCTTTGGGACAACCTTGACATTCTGAGGACTGTAGAATAACTTTGCAAAATGCTGAAAACCCTGAGCTCCCTTTTATGTCAAATAATCAAACTGCAACCATTCATCCATTATAGAAAGCCTGGGATGAAATCTTGGCTCCACTGACACCAAAGAAGCTTTGCCATTGACTTCAGCAGGGCCAGGATCTCAGCAGTTTTTTTTTAAACTTCCACAGTTGCATTGCACTTTACAAGATTTGACTCTTTAGGCCCATATTACTCACAGATGCATATGATCTGAGGAGGAGGTGCAGAGTCAGAAGACATCTGTGTTTCAAAATTAAATCAGCACTTCTCACCACAGCTGCAAGGATGAGGGCAGGAGGAAGAAGGGTGTGTTATGTGTGTATTCTTCCAATTATGCTATGTCTGGTAGTTTAGCTTTCACTGTACTGTGGTTGAGTAGATTTGCAGACCTTGTTTATATTCAAAGATTTTGGATTACCCATCAGGCCCAGTTTAAAGAATTTTAGGGCACTGTCCACTGAGGATATTGTGCCCTCCTCCACCACACACCTTCCTTAAACTAGACAGAGCATGTGACAGACAAGAAAGCTGCTGCACCAGACAAAATTTAAGTGTGCTGCCCCTCTTCTAACATCTCAAATAGAAGTTCTCTACCAAAGGGACTCATAAGCTTTTTGGTGGGTCAATAGTATAGTTGAATTGGACAGCCAAGCACCAGTTTGCAATGTCATTCACTCAGGTTTGGCCAAAGGCAGAGTGCCCCAAGGTTCGGTTCTAGGACTGGTTTTGTTCAATATCTTTATTAATGACCTGGATGAGGCGATGGATTGCACCCTCAGCAAGTTTGCAGATGACACTAAGCTAGGGGAGAGGTAAATACGCTTGAGGGCAGAGATAGGGGCCAGAGTGACTTAGACAAATTGGAGGATTGGGCCACAAGAAATCTGATGAGTTTCAACAAGGACAAGTGCAGAGTACTGCACTTGGGACGGAAGAATCCCAAGCATAGTTACAAACTGGGGACCAACCAGTTAAGTAGAAGTTCTGCAGAAAAGGACCTGGGGGCTACAGGGAATGAGAAGCTGGATAAGAGTCAGCAGTGTGCCCTTGTAGCCAAGAAAGATAATGGCATATTAGGTTGCATTAAGAGGAGCATTGCCAGCAGATCCAGAGATGTCATTATTCCCCTTTATTCGGCTTTGGTGAGGCCACATCTGGAGTATTGTGTCCAGTTCTGGGCCCCCCACTACAAAAAGGATGTGGACGCATTGGAGAGGGTCCAGCGGAGGGCAACCAAAATGATTAGGGGGCTGGAGCATATGACCTACGAGGAGAGGCTGAGGGACTTGGGTCTGTTTAGTCTGCAGAAGCGAAGAGTGAGGGGGGATTTGATAGCAGCCTTCAACTTCCTGAAGGGAGCCTTAAGGGAGGTTCCAAAGAGGATGGAGAGAGGCTGTTCTCAGTAGTGACAGATGGCAGAACAAGGAGCAATGGTCTCAAGTTGTGGTGAAAGAGGTCCAGGTTGGATATTAGGAAAAACTATTTCACTAGGAGGGTAGTGAAGCACTGGAATGGGTTACCTTGGGTTGCTCCATCCCTAGAGGTGTTTAAGTCTCGGCTTGATAAAGCCCTGGCTGGGGTGGTTTAGTTGGGATTGGTCCTGCCTAGAGCAGGGGGCTGGACTTGATGACCTTTTGAGGTCTCTTCCAGCTCTATGGTTCTATGATTCTATGACTGATGTTGCACCTAGTGCTTGGAGTTGTAGCAGATTCGATTTATTTCTGCTGGTGCTTGAGACCTTTTCTAAGCTGAGGGCCTTTTTTAGTGCACTGAATGCACATTGGTTAATCAGGACCTGTTCCCCATGACAAAAACATTTTTCAAAGAAGGGAGATGGGAAAATATTTCTGATAGAGAGATGCTAGCTTCAAACTAACAGACTAAAGAAAATTATCAGAATAAAGATGAGTGAGGAAAGAAGAAAAAAGTAGCAGAGGAGAGAAATAGGAAAGAATATAGTGTTTACAAAAGGGCTTAGACTCTACCTTGAAGACATAACACTCTAAATGTGTGCCATGATTACTTACTGCTGTGTCTTTAAAATATCTATATTGACATAAGTGTATAAATGTGGCATTCAGACAAAAGGTTTTTCTTTCCCTTTGGAGAGTCCTAATTCAAAAGTAAGTAAGCCATGAAGGAAAAACAATTCTCCATCTGTTTACCTTGCTTTCAAAAACTCACGCCTATGTCCTTCATAAAATGCTTCCATGGAAAATCCTTATTTTTATGCAACACTAAGTGGTGCAAGAGCTCATAGGGCAGTAAATTCATCATGAGTATATCCTCATGCAGGAATTTTAAATGTACTATAGCTAAATGTTCTTGTTTGGAGGAAAATAAAAAATGTCTTGTTGAAGCCACTATTTTTAATCAATATTAAATTCAATAGATGCTTTTGAATTTCATTGGGACTGTCATAACCTACTTAGTTCTGAATCCTAAAGACACACATAACACTTTGTAATGTACATCAGTAATATTAAATATGATTATTTCAGTGTTGCTAGATGTTTTTAACAGTTGGTGAATAGGCCTATATACAATGTCAGCATACTGCTATTAAGATAAATTGTGCAGGAACTGGAATATGATATCTGTATACGTTAAAATGTGGACTAACACAAAGTAATGTTATCTACTTGGTAATCTCTGGGCAAAGCTAGTGGAAACCTTAGACAATGTAATCACACTGGTTCCATATAGGGGAATAGCATATAGAATTAGGTAAGTCTTATAAACCTAAAATGTTGGTCTGTTCCTGCCAAAATATTAGTGATCTTACAACAATAACAACAAGGAGTCCCTTGCTCCTTAAAGACCAACATATTTATAGGGACATAAGCTTTCATGGCCAAAAACCCACTTGCATCTAACAAAATGGGTTTTTGTCCAGGAAATCTTATATCCAAATAAATCTGTTGGTCTTTTAGAGTATGTCTAGACAGCGGGTGCTATTTTGGGGCACATGTCCAGCATCCCAAAATAGTGTTTTCTGTGTCTTCAGAGTACGCCTGTTATTTCAAATGCAATCAAAATAACGGGCTTGCCGTTCTGAAGTCTTGGTAAATCTTGTTCCACAAGGATTAAGGGATTTGTTGAAATAGTGATAGACAGTGCCAACTTGTGTAGACAGTGCCAAATTTCACAATAGACTATCTTGAAATAAGCTCGAAATAAGATATACAATTTTCATACCTCAAATTGCATAGCTTATTTTGAACTAGCACCACCGTGTAGATGCACCTTAAGATGCTACAGGACTCTTAGTTGTTTTTGTGGAAGCAGACTAACAATGCTACCCCATGATACTTACAACAATAATTTATAACAGAGATCTTTCCTTCACAGCTGGCTGGTAGAGCTCTGCTGCACTTTGTCTTTAGGTTTAAACTTTAAAGTGAGCAAATATATTTAATGAGTCACTTCCATGAGGTCAGTATGTTATTTACAAAGGCCCTTCTTTAAAGATAAGTGCATTTTTACTGGCACCAGCTGTATAATTATCAACACATAGCTACAGGCTGTCCTTTACTGACAATTATAAAATTTATGACCAGATAGCTGGGTGTGGTGGCATATTGTCTAACAGTCTGTTTTTTTATTGAGAACAGGAAGAGTACAGTATTTTTTCCACTTTGTTCACAGCATACATTTTATCTTAGGGCTTGATATTATAATACATACTTCTGAGTATTGTGTTTACTTCTGTTACTAGTTCCACTGAAGTATTAAATGTCCTTTTATTGCTGAGTTGCATTTTAAAATTAGTCTCATTAATGTCAACTACTAATTAGCATAAATGAAGGTGGCAAAATGGGAAGTTTAAGACCTTGATTCAGGTAACACTGACAGCATGGTTAACTTTATTACCATGAATGGGTCCCACTGATGTCAATGCCTTAATTGCTTAAGGTAAGCTGGAGACATACAGTAAAACTCAAATACAGTGGGAAGAAAAGAAAAAATAGGCAAGTCTAAACTAAGCTTTTTAATCATTTATCTTTCACATATTATACACTACCACCATATGTTAAATATAAATACTAATAATTTTGAAGGTGTGTCAAATGATCAGTCTATAATACCAATGTGATGAAAAAGTGACAGATTACACTCAGAATTCCATTTTTTCAAGATAATTGTTGTCTATCATTCCTATTTTCTTAGTTTTATTTTTCTATGAACTGCAGTGAAAGAAAAATAATGTTTTCATAGTAATATCTTATTATTTACAAGCAAACTTAATTCCAATTCAGTGTTGAAATCCAAAGTGAAGATTAACAGATGCATCTATTTCACGATATGCAGGCAGGAACTGTTTCAGTCTGTGACCATTTAAAGAAGTGAGAATAAAAAAAAGATGAGTGAGGTTATTCAAAGTAAGAAGAACATTCTTTAAAATGTAGTCCAGAATTTGGCTGTAAATCTATGTACGCCATGAGGATGAATTCAGTATAAGACCCTAAAAGGAACAGAAAATGTGTGGTTTTAATGGAAATGCATAGTGAGAGGCAACAGGGTGTGTCATTGTTTATGGTGAAAATTTATTTCCAAAGAATTCAAAAGATATGTACTTGAGAAAAAGTATGCATAAAATCCTGTTTCCCTGTTATATCTTCTACTTCAATGGTATGGTCCCATTGTTTGTTTTCCTCTCTTGCTATGCTGAGTGTCAAATCACCACATAATGTTCTGATTCAGTCGTTTCACCGTCTGTAAAGTGTTGCACGCACCTGTTGGACCATATAAATAAAATAAAACTTGATTGCACAATGAATAAGAATAGTCTGCACCTAGAATAATAGGTCAAAAAGACAATTATAAGTCAGCAGTTCATGGCCCTGTAAAGTGAATGCAGGCCCACGAGCATCAGGGCCACCTCTGGCCCCTAGCTGGGTGAGTATAAGTAACCAGCACGTGGCCCCATCCTTGTGGCATCTGCCCCCAGCATAGACAAGCAACCCATCACTCACTGGCTCGCTGCAGTAACCCCCAGGCGCTCGGCCACGCCCTACCCACCACGTCACCGCCACGGGGGCGGGACCGGGACTAGGGGCAGCCCCTGCTCCCCACATGCATGCCGAGCCCAGAAGCGCCCTCGCAGCGTGACCACGGAAGCAGCCAATCAGCGCGCGCAGCGGGCGGGGCACGCGCCCCCCCC